GACATCAAATAATAGAAAACCACAGAAATGAACTAGGAAGAGAGGAGACCACAAAAATGTTTGGAGCTGAAAAGAAAATGAATGGGAAAGGTACCCGAGGAGGTCTGAGCCGACCTCAAGCTAGAGGAGCTAAGACTAGACAAGCCCAGGTATAGCACAGAATATTTGTCTTGAGAACTGGCAACACCTCCTGACTCCAGAAGCAGCAGAATTCTACATGTTTATTCTTTAGACACTTGAAATGTTATCCGATCTGGAGATATTAGGCACAGTTGAGTCCAGGTACCATATGTTAAACAGGGGGACCAAGTCACCATATTAATAACAAATGGTTCCAGAAAGAAACTCTCACAGTTATGGCCAATTGCTTTGACAAAAGTACCAAGACAATTCAGTGGGGGAAAAATTAGTCTTTTCACCAAATGCTGCAGGGATAACTAGATATCAACAGGCAAAAGAATGAATTTGGATCCTTCATACCACAAACAAAAATCAACTCACAATGGATCATAGCCCCAAATGTAAGAGCTAAAACTATAAAGCTTTCAGAGGAAAGCAGAGGGGGCAGGATCAACTGGCCTCAGCAGTTCACTGAATGTGCAGGAATAAAGCAGGAACTGACTCATAGTTTAGTGTGGTTGGCTAAGAAAACAGGAAAAGCACTTCCAGGAAACCTAAGGAAAATGGTGCTGCCATGCAGAAGCGCTTACACTGCAGACCTGAGACCACTCTTCTTACGGACCAGCTTGAAAGGGGGGCCCTGGACTGTCCTCTGGGAACTCAGATTTTGGGAGGGTTCCCACCATTCCCAGAAGTGATAAGAAAGGCTTGCTGAACCTAAAATGTTTGTGCAAGTAACATGGTTTGTGTTAAATACCTGCTTCCTTCTGGAGTCTGGTGGTTTCATACTTGCTACACAGGACTGCCTACATGACCAGCTCTCAAGAGACCCTGGGCACTTGGAGCTCTACTGAGCTTCCTGGTCGACAACATGTCACACCTGTTGTCACAGCTGGTTGTGGAAGACTGAGCACGTCCTGTGTGACTCCACTGGGGAGGGCATCTTGGAAGTTGGTGCCTGGTGTCCTCAGACTTCACCCCACACGCCTTTTCCTTTGCTGAGCTTGCTCTATATCCTGTCATTGCAGTCAATCATAGCTGTGAGTACAACTAGCTACTGAGTCCTTTGAGTCCTCCTCGTAAATCACTGAAACTAGGGGTGGTCCTGGGGACCCCTGCCACAAGTATATACTAAGAAAATAAATCCATTTGCTTTGGTAGCATATGGTCCAACCAGATCCCCAGAATTCTACTGGACAAGTTCTGAATGCTTAGGACAATGTGTGTATGTGACCTGGAGGTTCCCAGATGTGGCAGGGCAACACAGGCATATGGGGAGTGAGTTTTGCAGGCCCGCCCCAGACTCACTGAATCAAAAGTTTGGCCAGTGGTCTGGGCATTTATTTCTTAGAAAACCTGACTTGTTGACCTGCAACTTTTGGACAGCAGAACTTCCGGAGCTTCTTGCCCCAGCAGCTGCTAACGGGCATGAATCACACCAAGTCAGCTTCCTGTCCTCTTCCAACCCACACACGCCCTCCTCCCTCAGCTGCGGCTTGATCCAGTCCTTGTTGCTGCAGCTCACAAAGCAGATTCAGTGTGCCATTATTCTATATCTAGGGTATATACAAAAACAGTTTTGGAGAAAGATGTTTTTAGTATCTTATGAACTTTAAAAATGCACATAAAAGTGCTTTGTAAACAAGAAATTTACAAACGTAATGTATTATTGGGCTTAACAGGCAGGTGTATGCACCATAAAATACAGCAGTGTCTTTGATGTGATGCTTCCAGTGCAAAGTTATACCTCCTGACAGCTCTCTGCCCTACTCTAATTAAAAACTCATATAAAGAGGGGCGCCTGGGTGGCTCAGATGGTTAAGCGTCTGCCTTCGGCTCAGGTCGTGATCCCAGGGTCCTGGGATCGAGTCCCGCATCGGGCTCCCTGCTAGGCGGGGAGCCTGCTTCTCTCCCTCTGCCTCTGCCTCTCTCTCTCTCTCTCTGACTTTCATGAATAAATAAATTAAAAAAAATTAAAAAAAAAAAACTCATATAAAGGTTACAAACACATTTTTAACTTTGGTTTCAGGTTTCAGTTTTGTTGATCTTGAGATGTAAATATTATCTCCACGTTAAGAAATAATTTCATCAGGGAAAGATCACAGACGCCTCATATCTAAACATCAGAACTCACTTTATAGGGGTGCCTGGGTGGCTCAGTTGATTGGGCGTCTGCCTTCGGCTCAGGTCATGATCTCAGGATCCTGGGATTGAACTCTGCATTGGGCTCCCTCAGTCTGCTTCTCCCTCTCTCTCTGCCCCTCCCCCTGTTCATGCGCTCTCTATCAAATAAATAAAATCTTCTTTAAAAAAAGAACTTAACTTTATGACTGGCATCCTTTCCTCCTGGGCCCCTTCCCTGTTATCATACACACATCCCCTACCTCAATACACAGCACTATATTGTAACACTCAATGTATTTATTTCACTTTCCCTGAAGTTCAGGTCATGGGCAATCTTAGAACTCAAAAGGATCTTCAAAATTCAGTTGGGGGACGCCTGGGTGGCTCAGTCATTAAGCGTCTGCCTTTGGCTCAGGTCATGATTTCAGGGTCCTGGGATCGAGCCCCACATCAGGCTCCCTGCTCTGCAGGAAGCCTGCTTCTCCCTCTCCCACTCCCCCTGCTTCTGTTTCCTCTCTCCCTGTGTCTCTCTCTGTCAAATAAATAAAATCTTTAAAAAAAAAAAATTCAGTTGGACAAGTAAGTTCTGAATGCTTAGGACAGTGTGTACATGTGACCTGGAGGTTCCCAAACGTGGCAGGGCAACATAGGCATATGGGGAGTTTTCCAGGCCTGCCTAGACTCACTGAATCAAAAGTCCTGTCAATGGGGTCTGGGCCTTTATTTCTTAAGACTTTATGAAGCAGGTATGCCTGGCAGAACCCCACAGAGGCTCTAGATTTGGAGTGAACAAGCATGTCAGAAGGCTGGCGGGTGAAGAGGATTTGTGGAATGGTCTTTAGAAATTGGAGGCTAAGGGGCGCCTGGGTGGCTCAGTTGGTTAAGCGACTGCCTTCGGCTCAGGTCATGATCCTGGAGTCCCAGGATCGAGTCCCGCATCGGGCTCCCTGCTCGGCAGGGAGTCTGCTTCTCCCTCTGACCCTCCTCCCTCTCATGTGCTCTCTCTCATTCTCTCTCAAATAAATAAATAAAATCTTTAAAAAAAAAAAAAGAAATTGGAGGCTAAGGAAGGAGAATTCATAATCTTTTTTTTTTTTTTTTTAACATTTATTTATTTGTCAGAGAGAGAAAGAGAGAGAGAGCACAAGCAGGGGGTGCAGCAGGCAGAAGGAGAAGCAGGCTCCCCGCGGAGCAAGGAGCCTGACGTGGGACTTGATCCCAGGACCCTGGGACCATGACCTAAGCCGAAGGCAGATGCTCAACCAACTGAGCCACACAGGCGTCACCCCCCCCAACTTTTTTTTTTTTTTAAAGATTTTGTTTATTTATTTGAGAGAGACAGAGACAGCGAGAGAGAGCATGGGGAGGAGGGGAAGAAGCAGGCTCCCCGCTGAGCAGGGAGCCCAATGTGGGGCTCCCTGAGCTGAAGGCAAACACCCAACTGATTGAGCCACCCAGGCACCCCAGGAGAATTCATAATCTTGACATCACGAATAATTCTGAGTGGCACAAGGACTATGACACTGGAGCCAAAGAGAAGAAAATATAATCTAGTATACCACTTGCCTATGCAGTGAGTAATACCTGCAAAGTCTAACATAATAAACACTCTTAAATGGTTTTCAGGAGGCTTAATTAGACAACAGTACAGATATTATTAACCTTGACAACATAAAAGTACAACTGAAAGAACTGGAAGTAGGAGGGAAAGAGGAGGTGGAAAAATGGGGAAGGGTGCTAATACCCTCCTCTTATAAGGAGGGAGGTCTAGAGACCTGGTTTAAAGTTGACAGTACAAAGAAATAGCGATATATGGTTATCATTTAAAGTCACAACAGTAGCCAATAAAAGAACTAAAATCTCAGTTCAATAATACTAAGTTGGGAAGCAGAGAGGCAAAGTCACTTGTTCAAGTTTAGCTAGGTAGGAAGTTCTGAAGCCTGTGTGTGACTATGGGCCCTGCACACTCCAGCGTTCTTTACCAGCCTTGAGCTGTGCCAAACACTGTGCTAGGAAGTAACCTGCCCAATGTCACACACCTGGTTAGTGGCAGAGTCAGAAAAAGAAACTAATTCTCTAGCCTAAAAATGATCTGGAAAAGTTATTACTAAAATTTCCAGAAAAGACCATGTTGAAAATCTCTCATTCGCTCATCCTCATTCATTCCTTCATTTCTGCTCATTCTTTTTACACACACACACACCATTTCTTAAAAAGAGCTCCTCTGCTGAGACACACTTCCTCCCACTTCCTCCCTTCCCCTCCCCTCCACATCAGGCCTGCTCTCCAAGGCTACACCACCTGATCAAGCAAGTTCTCTCTTCTGGAGGCAACTATGAAGACTTCAACCCACCAACCATTTTGTCTTTCATAACCTGACAGAAGGACACAGAAGATACAAGGTGAGCCTGCCCGCTCATCTTAGTCTAGAGACTGAGACCACCTGCTTCTGGGGGACAGGCCACTGTCACATGCACTGAGGGGAGCAATTGAGGCACCAGGACGTGCTGTGGCCACAGCCTGTGGAGGGCCTGGAGGGCGGGGCTGTGCCCGAGACCAGCCTGTGTGCGGGCCAGACTGAAGACTGCGAAAACCACTCAGTGGCCCTGCGGAACTTCACGAAAACTTGTGAAATATTCAACAGAAATGCCAATTTCTACCCTCAAGATAAATCTTTAAAAATAAACTATAACCCAAACTCATTAGTACCTATAAAGAGCAATTCCAAAATTTCAACTTGATTCACTATTACTTACGCCATTTTCTGTGCGTTTCTCTGCAGGTACATTTATCACATTCCTCTGAGTTCTCTGCTCTTGGGTCTGACGGCCACCTAGTGAAATAAGAGGGCCAGACTTACTAAAAGACATACTAGTAAGAGGACACTCTCCCATCTCTCCACTTACTTATTTATGCTAACACAAGTACAATACACCAGGCTGAACAACACTTGATACAGTTGAAAAAATGTTTTATAATTAATTTTTATAAAGTTGTTTAAATGAAATTTTTTCTATTTCAGAATCTTGAAATTGACTTATATTGAAAGATTTCTAACACTTAAAATGGTCAAGATGGCAAGTTTTATGTCACATGTGTTTTACCACAACTAATTTTTATTAAATATTTTAAAAAGACTTTTATATTATAGCAGGGACTAAAAAAACCTTAAAATCCAGCAATAAAAACACTGGTGCACAGAGCTGGTCTTCATTGGCAGGGTTGCAACTGACATGGGGCATCAACACAAATCAGGCTGTCTTAAGAATTCTCCTTTGTTCCATAAAAATTGGAGTATTTCCCAAAAAAGGCTTCAAACTTAAACTGTAGAAATTATATGTCCTGTCATATTTTGTAAACAAAATGAAATGTGCTGCATACTTGTGCACCTGGTGACTCTGAAGTCATAGAGACCAAAGTCCTTGATGTGTCCAGTGCCTGCCCCTAGCCCACTCATCTCTACAGCTGTTACTTAATGTCATTTGAGAATTATCGAACCCTAGAGCCTGCTTTAGTACCTAAAATCCATGACTTCAAAAGCACATGAACTTCATGTTAAAAAAAAAAACACACACACACACACAGGAAAACATTTTTTCTTCTCTTTCCTATTATTTTGAAACATTTGAAGAAAAATGCTATAATGGAAGTATGGCTTGCTTCACCTTAAAGCATGCATTCTCAAAAACAGTGATATTGTCCCCAGGGGGGCAAAGACTGGTCCTTAGGGAATAAAAAATATCTTACTCTTTTTACGTATACAGCAAAGATATACAGTACATAAACAAATACATAGTACATCTAATGGGGAAGATGACGGACAAGAATAGAATGTCCAAAAAAAGGGAGTGAAAATTCAAAAAGAAGTGAAACAGATGTGGGTGGTGTGGCGTGCAGCCGAACACAGTCCTACAGCACACAACAGCCGCCTCATGGAGTCTAGAGCAGTTTCCTAGTAGCAGGAATCACACACACACACACACACACACACACACACACACAGCGCCACATGCTTCCCTTAGACTATGGCATCTGTCAGTTTACAAGGTAAATTTAATTCTTAGTTATTCTTGGTATTTTTAAGGAATAAGGTAAATTTAATATTCTAGAATGTCTGCCTCTTCCAAACAACAAGCTACCAAGAAGTTAGAATACTATAAAACATACAACATTAGAATTATACCAAATGCCACTTAATCTCTGATGGTAAAGATGACCCTACGTTTTGGAGTCAGAAAATAAAAAACAGTAAGAGGTGACATTTGGTGAGTGCTCTCTGTGTATGAGCCCCACTGAGCACTTAACCAGAATGCCTCACCAACCGCAATCACAGCGCTTTGCACTGTGCAGATGAGGAGACGGGCAGAGGAATGGGAAGTCACTTGCCCGAGACCCATACTAAGTGAGCAGCCTCGCTCCCATCTCCAGGGCACCAGCTCCTGGGTTCTAGTTTATGCTCTGCACGTGGCCCTCATCGAGCTACTTTACACTCTAAGCTTGCTGTCCCAAGTGTAAAAGGTGACTGAAGCAAACATCCTCGATGCTCTCCTCTAGCTTCCAGAGACAGAATTCTCACCATTTTGGTGAGGGAGTTCTTTCACTTCTTGCTATGTATCTTGTAGTTCTACACAATAAACACTCAAATGTAATCCCTTTTAAATAATATCAGTTGGTGACAAGTGGCTTCTACTCAGCTCTGTGGGAAGCACAGAGGAAACATATTCTTGGATCCTCAACTCTGGCTGCTTAGAATATAAACCGGAGGAGAAGTTCAGCAAACAAAACAGGGAACAAAGCACCCTTTTTAAAAAATATATATTTATTTATTTATTTGAGATGGTGGTGGGGAGTGGTGGGGAGAGGCAGAGGGAGAGAATCTTTTAAGCAGACTCTCCGCTGAGAGCAGAGCCTGACGCAGGGCTTGATCCCATGGCCCATGAGATCACGATCTGAGCAGAAAACAAGAGCCAGATGCCCAACTGACTGAGCCACCCAGGCGTCCCCAAAGCACCCACCATCTTACTGCTTGGGCTCTGAGAGACAGGTGCAGTGCATAAGCAGAAGCAGAGGAAACACGGCAGAGGGCAGAGCATTATGGGGGGTTACTTGTGAGTCAGGGCCCACAGAATATGAAGATGCAAGAAGGGATGTGGCTGAAAGGGATAAAGAAGGGACAGGGAGGTTGAAGAGATGGGTAGGGTCCTATTACAAATGCGATCTAAGCCAAGCTGAGGAGGGTCAAGTAGGGAGGCAGGGACTTTGCTGGAAGGTTCTATAAAGCGATGCAAGCTGTGACGAATTTGGTTCTTCCAGTCCTGACTGATGGTCCCTGCCAGTCTGGGAATCCCCGTCACCACATCTTCCTGGGAGCTTACTTCAACCTGGTACCCTGCATGCTCCCCTCCACATCCTGCTCATCCCTCAAGGTCCCCAGTCTGCCATTTCTAAATACTCTGCTCTGTGATGACAGTGGTCCTCTTCCCACCACAAAGCTCAACATCCCCTCCTCCCACTTATCTGCTGTACCTGCTGTGTCAGCACCACCAGGCTGAGCAGCACCGTAGGGTGATGATGCAGGGTAACTGGAAGGTCAGCACTGTCACCTTTCTTACGACTCTGAACAGTTCTCTTAAGTATCCCTAACACTTCTAAACTTTATAAAGTGAGAATAAAATAAGACCTTCCCTCCAGCCCACCACCAGGACGTTAACAGTTATGTACAAATATTACATCAGTAAAAGTAAAATATAGAACTTTTAATTTAAGTATAGCTAGGTACTGGGGCGCCTGAGTGGCTCAGTCAATTAAGCCTTTGGCTCAGGTCATGATCCCAGGGTCCTGGGATCGAGCCCCACATCGGGCTCCTTGCTCAGCGGGGGCCTACTTCTCCTTCT